TTAGACCCTATCGATATAGTGAGGATAACTCACCTCACAGATGTCGACTCGGTAGATAGATCCCAACTCTCAAATCACTTGACACAAGCTCCACCACCTATTACCATAGCACAATATACCCATAAGTACTTAACCTTATAAGGTACTCCATAACCCACTAGTCAACCCCTGGTCAAAGTCAAAGTCCTCAGTCAAGGTCAACAGTCCATGTTGACCTTAACTCGCCGAGTACCCTCGGCTACTCGCCGAGTTCCTTGAAGCACTTTCCAACTCGCCGAGTCATCGAGGTGACTCGTCGAGTTCCTCCGATTCTTGATCCAATTCTAAGGCCACCCCGTCGAGTTTCTCTCTTGCAACACGACGAATACACACGCATACATGTCCTGGAGAAAACTCATTCGACTTGCCGAGTTGTTCATACAACTCGCCGAGTCTATGGCAATCTTCATCGGACTCGCCGAGTTGCTCATCCAACTCGTCGAGTTCAAGGTCATCTTCATACGACTCGCCGAGTCAACCTTGTGACTCACCGAGTTCCTTCAGTCCTTAAGACATACATACTTATTTAAGCCATGCAATGGCTCCAAACTACAGATCGAAGCTTCTAGAGCATGCTTTTCACGTAAAGTTGCAAACTTTACGTGTATGCATGACTAAAAAGGCTCTTAATGGCAATTCTAAGCTCTTAATAGGGTTTCATGCACAAGGAGGACCTCCATCACCCCCAAACCCGAAACTTTATGACTCTAGTATATATAGGGAGGGTTCAGATCTGAAGTTACAACTTTAGATCTGGCCCATAGCTTGCTATATCAACTCAAAATCCATAAAACCCTAAAACTCAACCAAAAGAAAAGAGATCTAAAAGGAAAGGGAAGTAAAGATTGCAACTTGATACCTCCAGAAGGTGCTAGCTAGGGTAAGTTCTGCTTCCCACACCTTCCTTGCTTCAACTCCTTTGCTCTTCAAGCTTTTCCCTCCTACCCAACCTTCTTTCCAAGGCTTAAATCACACCAAGAAGAGTACCACACGAATTAGGGTTTCACTGAGCTCTCAAAGACTGTAAAGAGGCCAAAGGAGGCTGAGGTTCCTTTAAATAGGGTGCAAAACCCCGGGATTTAGGGTTTCATCTGCCAGCTCCTACTCGTCGAGTCCCTTCATGGACTCGGCGAGTAGGTCACTAAACACGCGATCCCACCCCGCTGCTACTCGACGAGTAGGGCAACCAACTCGTCGAGTAGGACATAAAACCAAATAACTTTTTATTAAATCCATACCTGAGAATCGGGGCGTTACAATTCTCCCCCACTTGAACTAGACTTCGCCCTCGAAGTCCCTTGGGATAAACAATGCCGGGTAATGCTCACGCATCTCCGCCTCCGGCTCCCATGTCCACTCGGATCCCCTCCGATGTTCCCACTGCACCTTCACCAAAGGTATTTCCTTGTTTCGAAGGATCTTCTTCTTCCTTTCCAAAATGGCCACCGGCCTCTCCACATAATTTAGGCGCTCATCGACCTGAATGTCGTCCAGTGATACTACTGCCTCCTGGTCCATGATACACCTCCGCAATTGAGAAACATGGAACGTGATATGAATCCGACTAAGCTCTTCCGGAAGCTCCAGCCTATACGCCACCTTGCCAACCCTGGCAACGATCCTGAACGGCCCAATAAAACGGGGACCCAGTTTTCCCCTCTTCCTGAAATGGATCACACCCTTCCAGGGTGAGACTTTCTGGAGTACCATGTCACCCACCTGAAATTCCAACTCAGATCGGCGTCTGTCGGCATAGCTCTTCTGCCGACTCTGAGCGGTCTACAAACGCTGTCTAACCTGCTGTATCTTTTCGGTAGTCTGCAGAACTACCTCTGTCCGCCCCATAACCCTGTGCCCAATCTCACCCCAGCAGACTGGGGTTCTACACTTCCAACCATACAACAACTCGAAAGGCGGGGCGCCAATACTGGAATGATAGGTGTTGTTGTAGGCGAACTCTGCAAGCGGTAGGTGGGAATCCCAACTCCCACCAAAATCAATAACGCACGCCCTCAACATATCCTCGAGGGTCTGGATGGTCCACTCACTCTGCCCATCTGTCTGCGGATGGAAAGTTGTACTAAAATGCAGTCGTGTACCCAGTTCCTCATGGAACTTCTGCCAAAAACGGGAAGTAAACCTTTCAAGCATAAATAAAACCAAATAACAATTGTTTACAAGCATAAATAAAACCAAATAACAATTGTTTACAAAAGTGTTTTCAATTCATTATTCAATCAGAGTGTCCCAAAATCCGGATCATAAGGATGAGGAGCGGTACGGTCACGCCTTCGCCTTGCCATGAACTCCTGAAGTACCTAAAACAATAAACTAAAAACTGTAAGCCCGAGGGCTTAGTGAGCTACCCCCAAAATACCAATACCACACTGATAATACCATGTCCGTAATAATCAATCAATCAACATGCATACTGGGCCATCCGCCTGACTGGACCGCCCTCCAGGGCCTACAGTCCAACTGAATCTATACCGAGCCTTTGGCATGACTGGACCGCCATGTGGGCCTACAGTCTCCTCGGACTGCTCGTAGGGTGTGTTGGCCTTCAACACAGAGCAGGACCGCCTCAACCCAAGCAACAAGCTACTAATCATGTACGCATAACTAACATATACTGGCATGTACAATCATCAAACATATCTATCTCACTGATCACCAAACATGGCAATCACTCATAACTAGAGCACTAACCTAACAGGTCACTAACATATTAATCCCTACGGATCATAAGAGCATAACATACTGTCTATCTTGATTCCGATCTAACAGATCATATCCACATATAGCATACCATAACGATAACAACTAAAAGGGTCGGCCTTGGTGCCTTAGACCCTATCGATATAGTGAGGATAACTCACCTCACAAATGTCGACTCGGTAGATAGATCCCAACTCTCGAATCACTTGACACAAGCTCCACCACCTATTACCATAGCACAATATACCCATAAGTCCTTAACCTTATAAGGTACTCCATAACCCACTAGTCAACGCCTGGTCAAAGTTAAAGTCCCCAGTCAAGGTCAACAGTCCATGTTGACCTTAACTCGCCGAGTACCCTCGGCTACTCGCCGAGTTCCTTGAAGCACTTTCCAACTCGCCGAGTCATCGAGGTGACTCGTCGAGTTCCTCCGATTCTTGATCCAATTCTAAGGCCACCCGTCGAGTTTCCCTCTTGCAACACGACGGATACACACACATACATGTCCTGGAGAAAACTCATCCGACTCGCCGAGTTGTTCATACAACTCGCCGAGTCTATGGCAATCTTCATCGGACTCGCCGAGTTGCTCATCCAACTCGTCGAGTTCAAGGTCATCTTCATACGACTCGCCGAGTCAACCTTGTGACTCGTCGAGTTCCTTCAGTCCTTAAGCCATGCAGACTTATTTAAGCCATGCAATGGCTCCAAACTACAGATCCAAGCTTCTAGATCATGCTTTTCACATAAAGTTGCAAACTTTACGTGTATGCATTACTAAAAAGGCTCTTAATGGCAATTCTAAGCTCTTAATGGGGTTTCATGCACAAGGAGGACCTCCATCACCCCCAAACCCGAAACTTTATGATTCTAGTATATAGGGAGGGTTCAGATCTGAAGTTACAACTTTAGATCTGGCCCATAGCTTGCCATATCAACTCAAAATCCATAAAACCCTAAAACTCAACCAAAAGAAAAGAGATCTAGAAGGAAAGGGAAGTAAAGATTGCAACTTGATACCTCCAGAAGATGCTAGCTGGGGTAAGTTCTGCTTCCCACACCTTCCTTGCTTCAACTCCTTTGCTCTTCAAGCTTTTCCCTCCTAGCCAACCTTCTTTCCAAGGCTTAAATCACACCAAGAAGAGTACCACACGAATTAGGGTTTCACTGAGCTCTCAAAGACTGTAAAGAGGCCAAAGGAGGCTGAGGTTCCTTTAAATAGGGTGCAAAACCCCGGGATTTAGGGTTTCATCTGCCAGCTCCTACTCGTCGAGTCCCTTCATGGACTCGGCGAGTAGGTCACTAAACACACGATCCCACCCCGCTGCTACTCGACGAGTAGGGCAACCAACTCATCGAGTAGGACATAAAACCAAATAACCTTTTATTAAATCCATACCTGAGAATTGGGGCGTTACAAAGTTGGTTAGGAAAAGGTACTTCAGTTGGCTAAAGTTGTTGATGCAGCCTGGGCGAAGTGTCTTAAACCATGTCTCTGTGTTGCCATCCAAGGCAGTGGGGAAGTATGTGCACCAGAACCGTTCGTCTAGCTTGAGGGACGTCATGGTCCATTCATATGTATTGATGTGGCTATCTGGGTCGGTAGTGCCATCATATGTCTTAAGGTGGGGCAGTTTGGTGGTGTTAGGGATCTCGTATTCCAGGAGCTCTTTGACGAACAACGATGTAACACTTCGTGATAGGCAATCTTGGTTTGGGGTTCGCTGAGTGAAGTGATACCCCGGCTGTTGTATTGCCAAAAAGGGTTGTACCAACATGTTGTTATAGGTTGTAAGGTCTGGCGCTACTGAGCCGTAGAAGTTTGACGGGTGAAATGGAGTAGGGAAGGTGTGAGCCATGGGTATTGTTGTTGGGCAATGAGTATTTTCTGTTGGGTCATGGGTATTTGTTGTTGGACCATGGGTATTTGATTTTGGGCCGTGGGTATTTGTTGGTAAAACGTGAGTGGTGATGTTGACGCGGTGCCCGCCATCAATGACGGGTGGTTCTATGGCTATGGTGTAACATTTGGGCCAGTTATAGTGTTGTTCGCATGTAAGGTGTTCACGAAAGGCGTTATGGGTGTTGTTTGAGGATTTCTAGGACCGGTGGTGTTAGGGAAGAATGGAGGCAAAGGGGGTACAGTGTATTGGTTAGACATGCCGCTATTTTGGAATGGCGGGGGTGTTACGTGAGTCAGGGTGGATGGCGGCGTTTGGCTCTAGGTTAAAACCGATTGCATGATTGCTGCAACGGAGGCTGGTGGGTCATCTGGTGACGGTGTCGTCATGGGATACGGTGGCGGACCACCAGATGATGGTGCTGCCACAAGAGGTGGTGGCAGGCCACCAGATGATAGTCAGGCCCGGTTTTAAGCAGGGGCAAGTGGGGCATGTGCACAGGGCCTACTTTTCTAGGGGGGGCCAATTTTTTTATAGTATATCCAACAATCAGTAATCGGCCAAATGCAAAGGAATGAAAGAAGTCCAGTCGTCTAGAATCCCTTGAATTGATTAGTCGTATGAGTTGACACACGAACGCAAAGCAGAAGGAAGATAGCAGAAGCGAATATAACCGAGCATTCAAGTTCAAGCGAGGGTCGAAGGGGGATTAATCGATTACAGAAAAACACTCCTGGCTCCTGAAGTACTGCTATTGCTAAGTAGTGTTATTGCTAATCAGGTAAATAAGTAAGCATCGATCATAAGTAAAGGGTTGTATTGGTTCCTTTAGAAAGAATTGAAATTGATGACCACACAAGAGGAAGAGATTTTTTGTTGGTTTGATTCCTTAGTTTGGCAATCTTAAAGAGACCTTCCAAGTGTTTGATATAATGTCAAAAAGAAATTTTTATAGTGCAAAATGTGTGTATATGATGTGTTTGGTTGGATAACTGAGTGAATAATCAATAACCACAAAAACATCCTTTTTTACTGCCACATTCTTGTATTTATATTTGTTTTTTATTTTCGTGGTATTATTAGGAAAACGGGAACATACAGTCATTTAGAAAAAAATTCAGTTATAAAACTAAAGACATCTATTATTTGAAATCTTATCATTTTTGTGTATATTTTCATAGTGACATGTGCTTAGGCAAGTAAGATATCGTTTGGTTGTGCTTTTGTTTTGGAATTTTATATATGATTTTTAACTATGGTATACTATAATTGTAATCTGGAAAGGATAACTTAGTTTGGAAACTGTTATCTTTTCAGAAAAGGAAAACTGGTTTACATAATTTTATCATTCCTAGTTGTTATTGTAAACTTGATTTTAATATTTATACAATTTTCAAGATCCATTAATGACAAAATCATACATTATTATATTAAGATTGATGCTCGAAACACATTTTGATTACAAATGGCTTCTATTTATACTTTAAGATTCCATCTTGACGACTTTTAACCTCTTTTTGCTTTTTTTTTCAGAGTTTGCGTGGATGGGATCCGCCAATCTTTACATCGGAAAATACTGAATTGGAAAGTTGCTTAGGTCTGACCGGGAATTGAAATTCAATATGATTCTATTCTTGTGTTTGGTATGCACTTGAATCCGGTTTACGTAAACCAAGGAGATAGAACTCAAGCTTATTCTGGATGGACTTGGAATGAAAGAGTAAGTATAAGGATAAACTGTATATAAGAAATAACAACATACTATTGTCTTTTTGGTATTATGGCATCATACTCTTCATTTTCTTTGAATTGCAACATTATAGCTTCGATTTATATGTTATTCAAAGCAATGTAATTTCATTTTATTACTCAAAATAGCAAAGTATTTTTATTTCTTTAATCAAATTACTGTTTGTGGGCCATGCATAAGGCCCTTTTTTTTCCAGCTCGTCCCGGGCATTTGAATCCTCAGGACCGGCCCTGATGATGGTGCTAGTTCAAGAGACAATGGCAGGCCACCGGATGATGGCGCTGCTTCAAGAGATAGTGGCGGGCCGCCGGAGGGTGGGGCTGTTTCAAGAGATGGTGGCAGGCCGCTGGAGGATGGCGCTGCTGGAGTGTTGGTTGCTTCCAATGACGCCATTGGGTGTATAGGGCTATGCAGTGGTTCTGATGGCTCACCCGTCATCTTCTTTGTCATGCGTGGTTAGGTTGTAAGAGAAAGAGAAAAAGGGGTTTGTGTATCTATTGTCACACAAACGGATGGCGCCAAATGATGCGACCTGGCTCCAAACCACCTTGGCTATTGAGATATGGTCGTCGGAATAGAACCTGAGAGGTCACAAAGATAGAAGAAACGTCAGCCGCTCTCCGGGAGGAGGTCCCGGAAAGACGCTCTGACGGTCAAGTTAGTGGGGTGAATCTGAAGTGTGGAGGTAAATGATCGGGGAAGAGAATAGCTTACCTCTCAAGGCAGAGTGACTGACCTTTTATACTGAGGATCTTCCTCGATCCGTACGAGGGACAAGGACTGCGTCCCCGACAGGATCCGCCGTCCTTATTGGAGGACCATGCTCCACGTTCGTGTCCAGTCCAACGATTGGTCCAGGCGATAATGCTCTGGCCATGCTCTTTGTCGCCTGGAGCCGTTATCTTTGGACTGTAGCTGATGACAACCCTTGGCGAGGGCAAACTTCCCATGCGGTCGCTTCGCGGGGGTCCGGGGTTGCCAAAGCGGCCGAGTCGCCGGCCCGGGCTTCGTTGGGGACGCCTCGCCGAGGGGTTCTCTTGTTTCTAGCCCGCTCTGAGGGGCGTATCAACACCATGGATGATAGGTTGCGCGATCTTATTGCAGTCGAGGTTACTCGTGGCATCCTTGATGCTATCCCGGTGATTTTTGGTACCGTCAAGGAAGGCATCATGGAAATCATGGGGGAGAGGCTCAGGTCCTTCCGAGCCGAGATTGTTGCAGGCCAGATTAGGGCCCGATCTCCCTCGTTCACGGAGGTTAAGGCGTGTGGAGCGCTCGAGTTCTTTGGGGTCCGAGATCCCATCTCTAGCCGACGCTGGGTGGTAGACATGGAGAATTCCTAGAGCATGAGTTCTTGCCCCGATGCGGCCAAGGTGTGGTTCGCATCTTGTATGTTGAGGGATCGGGCACGACACTGGTAGGAGGAGGTGACCCATGAGGTGGGATCAGCCAGGGTGGCTGAGATGACTTGGGAGAATTTTGTGAGGAGGTTTGATCGGGAGTTTACACCACCCATTGAGGTGCAACGATTGGTAAGAGAGTTCCAGGATTTACAGCAGACTACTGAGACTGTGGTGGAGATCATCGCCAAGTTTCGAGAGAGGGCACTTTTGTTTCCGCAATACACTGCGGATGAGGAGATGAAGAAGACTAGGTATCATTCCATGATGAGAGATGATATTCATGAGTTTGTGAGTTTTTCGGGGTGCAAGACCCAGAATGAGATGGTGGAGAAGGCCCGGGAAGGGGATATTGAGTTGGAGCTCTGCACGAAGTGGAAGATAGAGCAGGTTCAGGCAGTAGTAGGTCAGGCCAAGAAGCCTAAGACCTCCGATCCTCCCGGCAGGGGCCAGCAGGGTCGTGACCATTGTGCCAAGTGCGGTAAGCTGCACAGTGGAGCCTGCCGACCAGCGGGCTCAGGATGTTATGCATGTGGCCAGTCGGGTCACATGAGCCGGGATTGCCACAAGAAGGGCTTGATTTGTTTCCACTGCAACCAGACCGGTCATAAGAAGGCCGATTGTCCGAAGTTGGTTATGGGAGGAGGAGGTAAGGCGGCGCCTGCGCCCGCCACAATAAGGATTACATATGGCCGCCCGATCAAGGCGGAGGCTCCTGCGGTGAAGAGCCGCGCATTTCAGCTGACTACTGAGGAGGCCCGAGAAGCGCCAGACGTCGTGACTGGTATGCGATCTTTTATGGCTTGTTTATTTTATTGTTATGCTTATGCTCTTATGATTTGGTTTAGGGACCTTTCTGGTCAATGGTTTGTCGGCCCATGTTTTCTTTGATTCAGGGCTACCCGATCATTCGTATCCCTTGTGCTCAGCAAGAAGTTTCGGGATGATCTGGAGACCTTAGATTCCCCACTTGAGGTGGAGATTGCGGATGACCGCACCGTGAGTGTTGTGAGGGTTTATCGGAGGAGCGTTTTAAATGTGTTCAGGGAGACGTTTTCTATCGATTTGGTTCTGATTCCTTTGCGAGGATTGAAGGTGATCATCGGGATGGATTGGTTGGGGCCCAATGGGGCCATGATAGATTGTGAGCGTCAACTGGTGAGAGTTCGAACCCCAAGTGGGGGAGAACTGGTTATTCATGGAGAGCGAGCCTCGCATGGGCCAGCTCTCTGTTCGGCTGCGAGGGCTAGGAGGCTTCTTCAGCAGGGTTGTTCTGGGTTCTTAGCTTATGTGTCCGACACGAGGGTTGAGGTCACGCCAGATTTGAGCAGTGTTCCGGTTGTGCGAGAGTTTCCCGACGTATTTCCTGAGGAGTTGTCAAGGTTACCTTCGGGGAGACAAGTGGAGTTCCGTATTGATTTAGTGCCTGGTGCGGCTCCGATAGCCAAGGCATCGTATCGTCTAGCTCCGCCCGAGATGCAGGAGTTGTCTATGCAGCTTTAGGAGCTGCTAGACCGAGGATTTATTCATCCAAGTAGTTCCCCGTGGGGAGCACCGATCCTGTTCATGAAAAAGAAGGATGGGTCACACAGGATGTGTATAGATTATCGAGAGCTGAACAAGCTAATGGTGAAGAACCGTTATCCGCTTCCGAGTATTGATGATTTGTTCGATCAACTCCAGGGTGCATCTTGGTTTTCCAAGATTGATCTTTGGTCGGGATATCACCAGATGAGGATTAGGGATGAGGATATACTGAAGACGAACTTCAGAACTCGTTATGGTCATTATGAGTTCGTGGTGATGCCATTTGGGCTCACCAATGCTCCAGCGGCATTCATGGATCTTATGAATCAGGTTTGTAGACCGATGCTGAATCGGTCTGTGATCGTCTTCATTGATGACATTTTGGTCTATTCAAAGACCAAGGAGCAGCACGAGCAGCATTTGAGGGAGGTATTGGAGACCTTGAGGATGGAGAGGCTATACGCCAAATTCTTCAAATGTGATTTTGGTTGCGTGAGGTGCAATTTTTGGGGCACATCATCAATCAGGAGGGTATTTTGGTCGATCCGGCCAAAATCGAGGCGGTAATGCGTTGGGAGGTTCCGAAGAATACATCCGAGATCCGGAGTTTCTTGGGTCTTGTGGGGTACTATCGGAGATTTATTCATGATTTCTCCAAGATCGTTGTACCCTTGACCCGATTGACCAAGAAAAGTGTGACCTTTCGGTGGGGTCTAAATCAGCAGTCGGCATTCGAGACCTTGAGGCAAAGATTATATGAGGCCCCGATTTTAGCACTACCCAATGGATTGGACGACTTTGTAGTGTATTGTGACGCTTCTATTTTGGGATTAGGAGTGGTTATGATGCAGAGGGGGCATGTGATTGCTTATGCTACGAGGCAGTTGAAGCCTCATGAGGCAAATTACCCCATTCATGACCTAGAATTGGGGGCGGTGGTGTTCGCCCTCAAGATTTGGATACATTAGTTGTATGGGGTCCGATGCACCATTTTCACGGACCATAAAAGTCGGAAGTACTTGATGGATCAACAGAATTTGAACATGCGACAGAGGAGATGGCTCGACGTAGTAAAAGATTATGATTGTGAGATTTTGTACCATCCCGGGAAGGCCAATATGGTGGCCGATGTTTTGAGCTGTAAGGCAGCGAGTGCTCCGATCCGAGATGTTTGCCTGAGGATGATGGTGATTTCACCTCTATTGGATATGATCAAGGGGGCTCAAGTTGAAGGACTAAAGAAGGAGAGCTGGAAGGTGGAACGGATTTGGGGGCAGATTCCACTTTTTTTTCGAGACGGTCATGATCTATTGACCCAGTGTGGAAGAGTTTGGGTACCGTCTTTCGGGGGTGTGAGACAAAAGATTTTGGAGGAGGCTCATAAATCCAAGTTTTCTATCCATCCGGGGGCCACGAAGATGTATCGAGATTTGCGATTGAGTTATTGGTGGCCCTGCATGAAGTGGGAGATTACATGGTATGTTGAGTAGTGTTTGACCTGCAGGAAGGTCAAAGCCGAGCATCAGAGGCGCCACGACAAGATGCAGCCGCTACCTATTCCCATGTGGAAATGGGAAGAGATTTCTTTGGATTTTTGTAACATCCCACAAATATAGTCTAAAAATTTCATTTTTAAAATCATTAATTAATCCAGAATTACTGAAAATCATTATCCGAAACATCAACTATAATATCCCAAATGTCAAAACAGTGTATCCATATCAATCACATGTATATAAATCAGAGTAAAATATCCCAGGCTAAAAGTTGTGGTGTGTGCCATGCAGTCATCCCGAGCTCTTCCCCTTGCTAGCGGAAGTACCTGAAACCAAAACTGAAAACTGTAAGAACGAAGCTTAGTGAGTCTCCCCAACTACCACATGCCACACACATATTCACATAATAACATACATTGGGCCTTGGCCGCTACATCGGGCCCCGCCCGACATCGGACCGAAGTTCGGCATCGGCCCTCGTCCGGCATCGAACCTAAGTTTGGTATACACATATCATATCAACAAGCATATAACATAAACACATAACATAGACATATAAACATTCCTCGGGCTTGCCCCAACATCGGACCGAAGCCCGGTACACATAAACATAACATATAAGCTAAACATTCCTCGGTCTTGCCCCGACATCGGATCTAAGTCCGGAACACATAAACAAACACATGCAAGAATCATGAAGACATCAAGCATACAAACATTCCTCGGGCTTGCCCCGGCATCAGACCGGAGTCCGGAATCATATAAACTACTTCGGGATAACCCCGACATTGCTAACATACATAAATGGGCTGCCCTTAGTGCCTTAGACCCGTTCCTACTGGAATAGGACTCACCTCGCAAAGCTGAATGCTATAATCTCGAGTGAGGAATCTCTGACGGGCTCAAACGACTCCCCGGCTATCATTATCACAATAATCACTTAGTCAAAAACAGAGAATCCGTCTATGGGTAAAATGACCATTTTACCTATAACATCCTAAGACCAGGTATATCTTATAAGCCCTTGTTCTTTTGGT